TTAATACAACTATAAAGTTATTTTATGTTTCATTGTAACTAAACAATAAATTGTGGCTATTTAAAATAACACAATATTTTAATAAACTTAAGTTTTATACGTTTTGCAATGTAAAAAAATCATATGAGGTAGTGTTATATATGCAGCATTATGTGAACATCGAATGCTTATTGGTTTATCTTTAAGATTAATAAAGCTTTGTGTCAAATTATACATCTTAAATTTTCTTATTTTTCATGGTTAATCCTCTTATATTAATTTAATTATAACTGCGGTTCATGTTTAAAGAACGTGCATCTGCTTCCGTAAGCTCGCTGCCGCATTGCACCAGTATCTAAAATTCGAATGTGTATAACAAACCTTTCAACAAAGAACAATCACAAATTACATACAAGTTAATGTATCCTGATAACATTATTCTTTTCGCTTATATCAGTAACTAAAGCATTTATGGAAACTGCTTTTCGTTTGGTGTTTAAACTCCAACTCGTAAATGTTAAATTACATAGCACTGCATTTGAGAAATTCACACCGCAAAACACAGCTATTATTAGCGGATAATCTGTAGTAAGCACATGAAACAAAGCAATATACTGGCAGAACCAGACCATGTATAATCTAACTTTAACGGTTTGTTGGAAGCACGCTCTGTAAACACACCTGTCAGAGTGGTCACGAATTGAAAATCAACTGCTGTTAGTCATGCGAGAATTAGAAAAAATACAATCTAACTTCTAGTTTAAAAATTTAATCCATGTTATTATACCATCGATGAGTTGTGTTTTATTTTCAAATTTGTAAAAAGATTCGATGAAGCTTAATAATCGACGAACTGTAAGCAAGAACATAATTCAATAAAAATAAAGAACTGCGAGGCTTAGGTGTAATAAATGTCCCATGGGCAACGATAATCACACATTTTTTCTGGCGAGTAGCATCGCCTAGTCTTATAAAAGGCGATGGCTAACTGAAAAGCGTGTCAATTCCTTCTATCTCTATGCGTATACGAGTATGCCTTAAGAAATGATATAATTATATTATTACAATGATATAATATTAATAGAAAGAAATAATTTAAGACCTTTGTAATAAAACAATCCGTTCACTTGTAGTGCAATCATTTTGTAGTTTTACCTAAAAAGTTGTCCGTGAGTTTTAAAAATTTTCACTGTTAGAAATTGAACTTTGCCACTTTTTTACCACATGTTTTTAGGGGTCCGTGCCCAAAGGGTAAAACCGGACTCCGCTGTTTGTCTGTCGGTCCGTCTGTCACCAGGCTGTATATCATGAACCGTGACAGTAAGATAGTTGAAATTTTCACAAATGATTTCTTTCTGTTGCCGTGTTTTTTTTTTATTATGTTCTTTTATTCTGTTTCTTTGTATAACAACGTTATAGTTTATGATACGTGACCGGTTTTTTGACAATTACTATTTTGTCAACCATAAGTGCAATCATCCATGCACCTAACATTTTATTCAAAGATCATTGTTTTTTGTAACTAAATAAAAGCATAATTCGTGGCGAAACATGAGACCATTAGCCAACGGTGTACGAAAAATATCGATGAAAAACAGATTTTTAAAACTTCTTAGAGCTCGGAATGATGATTAGGGTTGAGTGATTGTTGAGCATTTCTAGAGTGTTAATAATTTGGCCGCAGCCGATGCACAGTATCACAATTTCTGGAAAAAAAAAGATTCGTGGGTACTTATACGTTGTACGCTCTTGAGAAGTATAATTCTTTAGCGTAAAGACTTTAAATGCAATTGTTAACATTTTATTTAAATAACTTGAAATTATAAGTAATTGTCAAAAACGTAATTAAAAATCTGATCTAGACATCATCGTTAAAAGTGGAGAATGCTTACTTACTTCTTGAATTATAGGGATAAACTGATTGCGTAAAGTAAAAAAAGACATGTCTTTTAACGACTATAAACATGAATGCTTCACAAAATCAGCATATACACGTTCATTTAATATTGCTTCGCTACCACCAACAGAAGCAACAGCACCACAACATTCGTCCCGAATGTACTACAAAGTTCATCAGTGTCATAGTAAGTAAGGAACTGGATGCAAATGTGAATAGAACAGAAAACGTATGTGCTGATTCCTGTTACAACATGAGAATCCTCAGCTTCAGAAACCTCGTTAAAACTTATTTTTTACGAATGAAAAATTGATATCTGAAAATCTGTAGATGTAGAAAAGCTTATGACATGCATGAATTCATTGGCAATTCTCGATTAAATGCATGAATTTTAGTGGTACTTTGACATTTTGCAAAAGATATGTGTTAAAACTACATCTTTTAACCCACAAATTTATTGAAAGTAACAGCAAGAGTACAATTTTTTGATTACTGTCACTAACGTCATATATAATTTTTCCTTTCACTGTTATTAATAAAAACAGGTTGTATAGTCAATATTACTAGTTGAATGATCGTAACCAGATAAGAAGGATTTTACATTAAACATGCCGCGGCCCAAGGACTATATGGGTCCTTTAACCGCAACATCTAAACTTTAACTTAAATAGAGTGAGAATCTACAAAACAAGACTATAAACTATAACTTAACTAAGGCTCTGAAGCAGCTAGAGGCAGAGGCCTCAGTTTAGTAACTGGTCTCTTAAACACACGATCCTTAAATTATAAGGAGACCACACGCGTTACACCGTCTGCTCCCGGGTGCTTCGCCACAATTCGCCCCAAAAGCCATTTACCTGGATGTAAACGATCATCTTTCACTAAGACAACCGTACCAAAATTTATGTCGGGGTGATTCTGGGACCATTTGTATCGATGTTGTAACATAGTAAGATACTCAGATTGCCAACGTCGCCACAGACTTTGTATCATACGTTGCACCTTTTGCCATCGGTTTAAATAGTCAGGTCGAGTATCCACGAAACATTCTTCAGGGATAGTAACCGGTGCTTCGCCGATCAAAAAATCACCAGGAGTCAACGGGAGTTCATCAACGGCAGAACTAATCAATGTAAGAGGCCGAGAGTTGACACAAGCCTCGACCTGTGTGTGCAGAGTGCAAAACTCGTCGAATGTTAAGCAGTATTCGCCTACGACGCGTTTCAGATGTCCTTTTACGGACTTAACTCCTGCCTCCCACAATCCTCCAAAGTGAGGGGCACCAGGGGGAATGAAATGCCATGTTGTGCTGTCGTTAGCTAACAGTTGGGCGATTTCGTCAACGACAGTTGATTTGCTGTTTTTGAACGCGAGGTCTAATTCTTTGGACGCGCCTATGAAATTAGTCCCACAATCACTCCAGATTTCTTTACAATGCCCACGTCGGGAAGTAAAACGTTTGAAGGCTGCTAAAAACGCAGCACTGGATAGTGAACTAACCAGCTCAGGGTGAATAGCCTTTGTAACCATATACAAAAACACACTTATGTAAGCTTTACAAGTTTTAGTGCATCTACCAGAGTACAGTTTCAGCGTAAATGGACCACAGAAGTCAACTCCGCTGGTTAAAAACGGGCGTGACGGATTAACTCTGCACTGTGGTAAATTACCCATTAACGGAGTCATAGGTCGTGCAGTTTGCATAAAACAAGGTTTACATAATCTTAAAATCTTTTTTACCAAGTTTTTTGCTCGGAGAATCCAATATTTTTGGCGGACAACATTTAATGTGAGCGAATTTCTACCATGTAGTGATCTCAAATGAGCATCAATTACAATCAACTTTGCTAAGTTACATTTATGATGTAAGATTATAGGAGATTTCATATCAGGTGCTATGTGAGCATTTACAAGACGTCCACCGACTCTAATAATTTTCTCATTGTCTAGGATCGGATTCAAAGGTAAAAGTTTACTATTTTTTGGGATAGGTTTGCTTTGTGATAACAATCCTATTTCACTTCCAAAGTAAACACACTGTGACATTCGAATGCAAGTTTTTAATGCATTTTTTATTTCATCAATAGTGAGGTATGTGAGTTTTATGTTATCCTTCCTTTTGAGAACCTTATCTTTACATAGCCGCAAAAATCAAAAGCAATAGGCTGTCACACGTATAAGTTTAAGTAGACTTGAGTATCTATTGAGGTACATGGTACATTCATTAGGTACAGAGGCGCATAAGTAACTAACTTTTGTTTTCGATTTTGCATCGAGTATGGTTTCAGGTATAGTGAAATTAGGGTAACAAATCTCAACAGACTCGCGAAGAAACTCGCTGGACCTTCCCACCATAGTTGTGACTGCATCAGCTCGCCAGGACTGATACCGCGTGAGGCACAGTCCGCGGGGTTATCCGCAGACTTAATATGATGCCATTGACTACTATTCGTGACATTCAAAATTTCGGTAGTGCGATTACCAACAAATGGCTTCCAAGTATTTGGAGTTTTCCGCAACCAAGCCAAAACTATAGTGGAATCTGTCCAAGCAAATACACAATTATCATCAATATTTAAACTAGATTTGACATATGGTATCAATTTAGACAATAGTACTGCCCCACAAAGTTCAAGATGTGGCAATGAGATTTGTTTCACGGGAGCGACCTTTGTTTTGGCTGCGACCAGGCTTACTTTTATCTCATTGTCCGTGATGACTCTGATGTAAATAACCGCAGTGTAGGCGGCGCAAGAGGCGTCACAATAACCGTGCAATTCAATTTTTACATTATTTGCAATCCCTAACCAACGTGGAAGCTGAATGGCCTGTATGTGTTTAAAATTAGTCAGATAATTCTGCCATTCAGTTTTCAGGTCTTCAGGAAGTTGAGAGACCCAGTCCAGGCCGCCTAGCCACATTTTCTGCATAAACATTTTTAACACAACCACGCAAGGTGCTAGCCAACCCAGAGGGTCAAAGGTTTTTGCTATCGCAGATAGCACACTTCGTTTTGTAACAATGTCGTTATCATGAGATAAGTTAACTACCAGTTCAAATATATCACTTTGTGGTTTCCAGGCTATGCCCAAAGCTTTCACCGAATCATCAGTTTTAATATTCACTGAACTTTTAATGCTTTTTTCGAATCGGGAATCTCACTTAAAACCGTTTCACTATTAGACGACCACTTATGTAGAAGAAAACCGCCACGTTTAAACAGTTCAGTTAAGCGACGTTGAAGCCGTTGAGTGTCTTCTTCTGTAGATGAGCCCGTCATGCTCGAGGCACGAAGAATAGCGTGATGTTGTAGGTAATAAGCTCTATTCTCCTTCTCTGTTTTAGGGACGACCTCCATGTGACCGAGTGATTCATATTGCCTCATGAACTTGCAGTATTCTTTGTGAAACTCGGGTCTTCGCTTAAACTTATTCTCCATCTGATGTAAGCGCTTCAAAGCAAGTTGTCTGGAGTTGCCTAAATTTGGAGTGTCTTCGTCCTTGAAGGGTAGGCGAACCTCATATCGTCCGTCAGTGTTCCGAGTGTGAGTTTTCTTAAAATGTTCTTCACACTGCATCTCAGGTTTTGACAGAGGCTTCACGTTTGGTGAATATTCATTGATCTCCCAAAACTGACGTAGCAACTGATCAACTTCGACTTGTGTGTGCATAACAACTACATTGTGTGACTGATGGCTAGACTGCGCAACTTCGCCGCTTCCCAGCCAGCCCAATCTTGAGTTCAAAGCGACCAGAGACTCATTTCGTTTTATTATTCCGTCAAGAATAATGTGCGCATATACAACTGCACCTAATAGCACGTCGATAGATCCTGGCTTGTGAAAGTGTGGATCCGCAAGATCCGAAATCTCAGAAGAAGGCCAGGTATCTGATGGGAGCTCTTGTGATGGTAATCTCGAATTTATTCGTCTAAGGACGTACGCCTTAGCTGTGATCATGTGTGATGGATTTCTTATAGCATGAAAGTTCAACGTAACTTGTGACTTAGTTGTCAGTGGTATAGATGATATGCCAGTAATTTTTCCGCTGATTGAAGTGCGCTCGAGATTAAGCAGTTGAGCTGCCGCTTCAGTAACAAAGTTTGATTGCGAGCACGGATCAATCAGTGCTCTCAAGACTATCGTATCGCCGTTCCTCGACTTAACTGCAATTCGTGCGGTTGCCAATATTACTTCCTCACTGTCGCTGTCAACCTCAGCCTTGTAAACGACGGTTGATGTGGTTTGGCTTGTTTCAGGTGTATTGGGTGTTACTGCATTGCAACAGAGTGTGATGTCGTCGACTACATTTTCTACAGGTGGTGGTCTGCCTACACGCTTTAACGGAGTGACCCTTTACAAGGCAATTAAAACAAATGCCATTCTTCTTAATAAAATCCTGACGTTGAGGAACATCTAATGCGGCGAATTCTTTACAATGACAAATATAATGGTTTTGTGAGCAATAAGTGCATTCGCTGCTTACTTCCGTGACAAATGACTTCATATTTGTAGGTTTTTGGGTTGTATAATTTTTAACTAAGTCGCCTTTCTGCGGTTGGTCTTTTTTGTGGGTAACATTTACCATCTCCATAGAACGGAAACGATTTTCTAAAAATAATGATAAGCTGGTAAATGTGGCTATGTCTTGAGATGATCCAAGTGACTGTTCCCATTGTTTGTGTGTTTCTAAGTCCAATTTGGATACAACTAAATGTACGACAATTGCATCCCAAGTGGAGGTATCCACGCCGAGATTGTCAAGAGAATTCAAACATTCCTTCGTAGTATCTAAAATTTCCTTTAAGCTTTTAAAACATTCTGTGTTCATCTTCTTTTGATTTAAAAAGCGGCTAATTATTGTAGTGACAATCATACGTTTGTTATTGTATCTACTCTCAAGTGTGCTCCAAGCCTTATCGTAATTAGCCTCCGTGAGTACAAAATGTTTTAGAAGTTGTTCAGCCTCTCCTGATAAACTCGTTTTTTTAAAGCTCTCGTTAAATAATGATGTTTTTCAATCGTTGTTAGATGCACGTTGTCATGCACGAGAGCCTTAAACAAATCTTTAAAACTTGTCCAGTCGTTATAATTACCAGCGAACTTTGAAACCGATAAAGGAGGTAATTTAGTTCTAATCGGGGTGGTCTCGCCATCATTTGTTGCTAAAAAAACTCTGCGTAGTATTATTTGATTGTGGTTGACCTTGAACTTTCGAAAATTCCAACAAATAATCCTTTAATAATCCCTTAAATTCTAGGTATATGTCTTCAGTTGTCTCGTATAGACTTTCGGCATTAAATTGTAATTGCTCCAGTTCAGTTTTCGTAACCGTTGATTTAATCATCTCATATTGAGTTTGATACTTAGACCAAAAACTTTCTAATGTTTCTAAGCGTGTTTGTAGATAGCCAAGTGTGTATCTTGATTTAGACGTCTTTTTAGTATTACTTTGTAGCTTAGAAATACGTTCCGATAACGTTTTTTGTGATTCACAAAGTTGAGCCATTGTTTACGTTTATGACAATTCAAGTTTAATCTTACCAACTCGCAGTAATTAGCACTTAGCCTTTTTTACTAATGTTTTAGCACTTATTACACTTTCTCAATCCGGCTCGAAGGACCAAACATGTTAAAACTACATCTTTTGACACACAAATTTATTGAAAGTAACAGCAAGAGTACAATTTTTTGATTACTGTCACTAACGTCATATATAATTTTTCCTTTCACTGTTATTAATAAAAACAGGTTGTATAGTCAATATTACTAGTTGAATGATCGTAACCAGATAAGAAGGATTTTACATTAAACAATATGGATGAAGAGGAAGAAACGGAGATTGTTTTCGAACCGAACGTAGGATGGAATCGAAAAAGAAACGGATCGCGATGAATTTGGTACACGCATCGCGGATGATGCTAAAGAAATTTAGATCTATGACGTCTTCATTAACACTGAAAACTTTGTCTTCCATGTTCATCATTCAAGAACAGCAAATCTATTTCGGCATGTGGATTAGGCCTACTGGAGATAAAACGTTTAAAAAAATCGCAGCAAAGTATACATTAATTTTTTTAGCCAAAACACACGTACACTTTGCGGCGATCGTACTTAAAAACAATATATTTCACAAAAAAAAATTGAAAAAGCTATGGGAAATTTTCTGCGATTTAATATGGTTTAATAAAGTTGTAATGTATAATTTTTTTTTTCGGTGCTAGTGTAGACACTAACTTAAGATGAAGCTTAAAACTATTCCGAAGTACGCGTACAGACGCTCTGGCCACTAATTAAGCAGTCGATATCCTTACTGCATGAAAATATCGACTCCTTACCAATTTTGCTATTATCGCATTGTTAGCAATGCTTGGCGTCATTGTATTTGCGCTTTTCTTAACCTCGAACCCTTTGCTATTTAACTTTTAATTTTAGTCACAAACTTTATTTTTACCGTTAACACGATTTGATACTGCGGATACCTTTCGGATTACGCTTCCGTATGCTCTAACCACAAAGCTAAGTTGCGATAGATACTTCTTGTATCTTTACGAGTCTTACGGCCGTTTTCACCATCGATTCCCAACTTTAAGGGACACCACCATATTTATTTTAAATAAGTGCTACTATGTGTGAAAAAATATGAGAGTAAAACTTTTTAGGATGCACCTGCACACCGCCATGCAAAAAGTGACATGATCATTGCAACGCTAGCAATTTCGACCAATTTTTCATCATTGCTATGGCAACCAATACCAAGTTTCTTAAATTCTGTAGGTTATACAGTAATTTAAAAAACTTGGTATTTTAGTTATATAAATATAAAATAATACCAACCTAAATTCCAAATTATTTAACTAAACCATTATCAATTGCATTCAAAAAGCGTACTAGCACAGAGGATAAAATTGTTACTTATTTTTCTTTTGTTTCGCTAAATGGGTATGACTTGCGTATATATGTTTAGTACACACACGTTACTTTCTCATAACTGTGCGCTAGAAAATGTAGTCGTGGCTTTCATATTAGGTTGCTCACCATGTACATTTGTGGTACATACTTTGTTGTTTTTTTAAAAGCTCTCAACTATTCACCACTCTAGACGGCAAGCTTTCCTCTCAACCAATACAATCACGTATTTAAAACAAAAGTAATAAAAAGGGAACAAACGGCATTTAAAAGAAATTAGATTTCGGTTAATGATTTTCATCTGATTCAATGTTTGGCCATTAACTTGACACAAGCAATTTATCTGTTGGCAACGTTTTAGTCCTTCCAACCGTTCAGAGTAATCCAATTTGCGTGTGCCGGCACGCGTGGGGGTCGAATCACGCGAGACCATATACAATTTACGCACGTCGAATGATAGCTATCACATGTATTTGTTTCTAGCAAACAAAACATGTGACGTAAATATTTCGTTAATGACCTCTTCGTCGCAGACTTCAATTACGGTAGTGTGTACTGGATATTACCGAATTTGGTGGTGTTTGATAAATTATAGGGTTTTCACTTTTTATGTTAATGAACCAGTTATTCCATATCTTAAGCGATAAAGAAAAGGAAAACGGAGAAGATTACTGGATATTATTCCAGTCATCTTCTTGTGTCGGCTGGTTTTGTGGTCTTGTCGAAGAAGGCATCATTTGGAGACTTGCATCGTTCGAGAAGAGCAAACGAACATTCCCGTTCGTTCATTCTTCCGTTGAACAGCGGCGGCGTGATATCTCTTGTATCCAGACGTTTGATTCCCTATGCTTGAAAGTTAGTTTTGGTGGTCCCAGTTTTCTTATAGTGCACGGCTAGCAATGCAAATTGATGCAGCTGTGCAAAGAACGAAGATGATTCGATAACGACTGTTGAAGGTGCCCTTCGACGTGAAAGTCGTACCAAATTTTAGTCATACATTACCAGACAAAATATTATAAATCATTTCAACAACAAAAGAAAGGTGTTATGCTCCCATATTTTGGACTAAAGGACTCATGAAATGAAATGTGCATTTTATGCATAATTAACAGCAAGGCATTACGTTCTGTAAAACAAATCAGTTAGATTCGGAAAAACCACAGATGAAGCATTTATCTTATTCCTCCGTGTGGATTCAGACTTTCTAAAATATCTGCTAAGAGAGCTACGGATATTCTCACAAGATTACTATTTCTATTATTATTTTTTACGTAGGTTCGGAATGAAATCTTATATGGCAAAAATACTTACTCTTTAATCGAAATCGGGATATCTTATTAGTAGTGCAATAATTAGCAGCGCGTAGAATTTGACATCAAAACATCTCTTTATCATCCAATGGATACATATAATAAGACTTTAAAAATCGATATGGGTTTCATATTAGACTTATTAATGATAAAATATAATGTTTTTGTGTATTTTAAAACTTTATAGCATTAGAAACGTATAAAGTCTTCGATCGCAACGTTTGTGTAATTTATTTATTAATAATATTAAGGTAAGTCAAAGTCAGTTGCAAAATTCATTAAGAATAATAAAATATCATAGTCATGATGGATATCATAGTCATGATGGATAAATAAGAATGAATAGAATAAAGCAACCCAGCCAATTCTTTCGCTTTTACAAGTCAGTAAGATGACAGAAGCTTAGAAAGTGGTAGAGATTACGCTGTCAGACATTTCATGGGACAGCATCATTTCTTTTTAATCACACTCAGACTTCTAATTTTTTTTCTCTTAAATAATCTAGTAATAATAACAATAATTTATTACATTCGTTTAGTGGAAAATATTACATAATATGAAATTTTCGTTTAAAAAATAAATAAGTGGGCATATAAGTTTTTAACTTAATTTGATATAAATGACTAGGTTGGCGCAGTGGCTAGGAGATGTTCGGTAACGCGGAACGTGATTTTTATTATGGAGTATGTTAAGGAGAAAAGAGCCAAATTGACAAGTGGGTCACCTGATGTGTGATCAATACCGCAATTACCACTGAAAAGAAATACTGTGGGACACAAAGGTACAAGTTCCCGATATAGTTGTTTTTCCTTTTTTAATTCTTGTTTTTAAACGGCAATTAATAATAATTTCAAAATATAAGCTCACTATATCATATTATACACATAAAAGTAAAGTTTTTTTTAAAATAATCTTTTTAATAAGCAATATAAAGAACTTTCCGAATAAAGTAAGGTTCTCACTAAAGTTGGTTTATCCTTAGCTATACATTGGTTGTACATTATATGTACAGTTTTATAAAACAAAATATTAAAAAAATGTGAAAATAACATTTATTGAACCGTGTTCCACAAAGTAGCTGTGCGGGGCAGAAAAATGCGGGAAAAACGCACAGTGGTGGACCGCCATCAAGGTGGTGTCGATGATATTTGGCGGCTTGACGAGTTGTACGATGGTGAAATTCACCAACAGGTATCAATCAGAAGAATTCCTCAGAGCACTGCCCGTGATATATTCGAAAGAAAATTCAAGAGGATGCAAAGATCTACTTGTGGTATTTTCTTGCACTACCTTGGTAGCTTGCTAAATGCTTTAACTTGCTAAATAAACATTAAATATTCAATCACAATTTTATTGGTATGGCATTTGAATTAAGATTACGAGACGATTGTATAAATTAAGTCGAGCTCTGGGAGTAGCCAGGCGAATGTGTCTTCAAACTGGCACTAAAACGTTGAACATCATTATGGAATAAATCAAAAACAGAATTTTGTTTGAGGCTGGTAACGTTCTAACCTCTCATTTATTAAATCATATTATTTCAGTTAGTATGAATATTGGAGCATATATTAGAGAATTAGCATCAAAATGAAAATACAAGTAAATTAAACATTATATTTTCAAAACAGCTGTAGTGTACATGAAGTACAATAAAATTCTATGAGCATCACATACATTCAAAATTCTAATGTTAGATTTTTATTAAAATTGGTTCTATTAGTACTTCGGAGACTAACATAACATAATATCACAGTATCAGCGCAAAATCAAACTTAAATAAGTGATGAGGTTGCGTTGCAGTAATAAATAATATTTTCGTCTCGCCCAATACAACAAATGACTTTTAAATATAATTAATAAATTACTAAACAAAAATTTTTGGCCAAAATATCGGCCTATATACGATCTGTCACTTATCTGTATTTTATTTACATATGATAAAATATATTTCTAATCGAAACAACCCGATTTAAAATAAACCGCAAAGTCTCTTTATCGTTGGGAACTAACTACTCACCAAAAAAGGCTTTATTTTTCTAGGAATGACAGCATGAGAATTTGGGCTATATGTACACTTATAAAATATTTTTAGTTTTTTATTGTGTATTCTTCAGTGAAAAGAAAACAGGTACCATTCTTAAGCTAATTTAACATGTCCAAAAGCCAAACTATTTACAAAACGACTATATAATAACTGACAAATATTAAGGGCGGATTCCAATAGCGGTTATAAGTTCAGAAAAAATAATGTATATTATGTAAGGCCATAAAACTTTTTTAAATAAAATATAACATGAACAATGAATATTATTCTATCAGTATATATTGATACTAATGTCATTATAGGTTCCTCGTTCTGTATATTAACATTAATTGTACTAGAAAAAATTCATTTGATTCGAATCACGTTCTTTATTTAAGAATTTAATTTAAAAAATATTAGACACTACGATATAAACAAACACTAAAAAGAAATAGACTAGTTTTCAGAAGAGATCCGAAATTTTGCAAAATGTATCAAATTATCCTCCTTAACATGCTAAGATATGTTATGAATTAAAATTTGTTATAGCCTACTTTAAACCTTATAGCATTGATTGTGAAATTAAATTTCATGATTAATATCATGAAATCCATAAATGATTGGAAACCGCTCTTCCTAATTACACTTATTTTGTTAAGATGTGATCAGTTTAATATTGTCGTTATGCTCCACGGGAAACATTGCTTTTGGAGAATATTTTAACTTACATTTTAAATATTTACAGTCTTCACAAATTTTCTTACACAAAACAGTTGAGAATTAAATCATCTATAAAACTTTTCTGCTGCTATTTCTTTCTTCGAAGGACTTAAACAATTGCAACTTTTCACCAACTTCAAACCTGTTAAATTATAATGTTAAATGTTAAATATGTTTGGAGCTTTAAAAGAACTTAATTTAAGTTTTGTCACATACTTGGATCGTTTTTTTCTTCTGACCGTGTTGGCTGGAGTTGATTCAACGCAAAGAACAATCAGCCTTGTACTACAGGAATACCTAAAAGAAATTTTGTTTAAAGATACCATGATATTAATTTATAATTACAAATGCCAGTGCCAGTATGTGCTCCTCTTACGTTTCCTGGTCTAACAGCTTGTTAGAATGCAGTGACGATGCCAGACCAAATTTGTCGGCACTGCTACTATGCCAAGCGTCACAGTAAGCGTCCATCGCTGGTTCGCCATTAGGGCCAGCGCCATGCCAAACAGCTTTGTTGGGCCTACGAAAATAAAATTTGTCACCATATTTTCCACGTTGACGGTTAAAACTTCACTTTTTCTTTTGAACAAAATCTCAATAGTCTTTAATCTTACAGTTGTAAACTTACCAGTTGGAATCGACTAGTACGTTTTTTCCACTGAAGCTTAAAATTCTTGGGGCGTGTGCAAAAAGTGCACCCGATCCATCAAACATTTCACCCCATGAGTTGAACAAGACGTCTCCTCTGGTATTTACTACGGGAATTTCACGGTCCACCCAATTAACTATCGAATCGATCGTTTGTACCCTATAAAAAGCGACATGAGTTACGGATGCAGTGCTTAAGGTATTATCGAAAAATATTTGCAAACTAAATTCTTTATGAATATCTTTATGATATGTAATATCTTTATGAATGTGATATTGTTCGATAAGCTTTACCTTATGTATGTATGGTAATAAGTTCAAAATTGTGAATGTTAGAAAAAAAGAAAAACACTGTATATTTTAATATCATAAAGTTCACAGAAATGCATTGTTAACCTTGAAGATATGAATGCGCGAAAAGTGCCCTCCAGACCTGCCCTCTGAGCCTGTCTACGACACTCGTAGTTTGTACTGCTGACTCCATGCATATCTCCCGTATGTGGTTCATCTAAGGCAGCTAGACGTAACTGTTTAAAAATAAATATTTTACAAAGCTTTAAATTAGTCATAGCAATAGTGGAAATTTAGTTTAAAAATTATTCATATAGCTGTCATTTTTTCAGGAATAATACCTTTATATCTGAGTGATAGTAAACTAAAATAACAGGCTATATTTGTCCCAAAAACCTCCAAAAATGTGGGCAAAAACCTCCTTTATAGAGAGGCCCACGCGAACCCACTGCGGGTTGGCAGAATTCACATATTTTCAAAATAATTTTTTGTCATTAGTTCGATAACATGCAGGTTTCCTTACGAATTTTTTCGTCATCACTGAGCAATTAATAAATCAGCACTTAAACTTAACAATTTTATTGGTGTCGTCACCAGGGGTTGAACCCAGATTGCTCGAGTATTTTGAATTAAAAGCGAGCGCCTATCACGGCTAAATAGAACTCATTTTAGAAATATAATAAACCCTTGCCCTGCATATGTTAATAGAAGCCTTCATTAATTCTGACTTTAATATCTCAAGCAAAACAATTGAATATCTTAATTTGGGTTTAACGTATTTTTTTTTTAACTGATGTTTTTGCTTTCAGTCCCGAGACTATTAAAGCTTCATCTGACGCAGAACCGGTGGGCTAGCCAGAACCCACGGGTTTGGGCCCTCCGCTGTGGGTAGGGCCGCGCATGTGCTCATGCGTGCGTTTAACTACGACATGTCATCTAAGGGCCATCGAAGTTGCGGTGCGGGCCGAGACCCCGATGGCCGTCGACTGTGTTTTTAGCTAATCGGTGGCTGGGGGCGGTGAGAACCGTCCTGGAACGCGGGTGTACCTTGTGTACGCGTTGTGTTGGTCTCGCCGTGCTCGGAGGCGAGGACGAACTAGTGTGTTTGTTGTTGCACTAACTGTGGGTGTAGTGTTATCCGGCGGGACCCCCGGCGGTGGGTCCGGCGTATCTAAGTCCCCTTCTTCGACCGGGTCGATGAGGACGTTTCGCGGGCGACGCTTGTTGACGTTCGCGCTTGTGTCGGGTTGGTAATTTGCTGCGCTTACCACCAGAGGGTTGGGATGATGTTCGGCTCTATCGAAGAACTGTTTGGTCAGGTCTTTAAAATATTCGCGAATCGTCGGGAGTCTGCAATCGCTGTGCAGATCGACGTTGCGTTGATACCACTGCGCACCGGTTGCACGGCGGATGAACTTATTTTGTACTATTTGCAGCTTGTACAAGCGAGTAGGGTGCGTGTGGGCGAAGATCATGCATGCGTAGGACATAATAGGTCGTACGCAGGTCTTATATAATAATAATTTGTGCCTTAAGGGCATTTTACTTTTAGCGTTAGTTAAATTGTGTAGCCGGCCGGAGACGAACGCGGTTCTATTACGAACGTTATTAATGTGCGTAGTAAATGACATACGCGAGTCGAAAGTGACTCCTAAGTATTTGACCTTTTTCTCCCAGGGGAGCGGTTGGCCATAAAGGGATATTTGCCCCAACTTTCTGCATTGGGCGAGGACCATTATAAAGATGTGACGGGTAAGTACTTCATGTGAAGTGAATCGCTACACTCTTTTCGGGATTTATTTCTATTCTCCATTTGCGGAACCAGTCGCCGAGGCGGTCGGCGGCGCTTTGGAGTCGAGTGGTTAGTAGTCTAAGGTTGCGGTCTGAATAAAAGAGCGCAGTGTCATCCGCGAAAAGCGCGAGGTTGACGTGGGGGTCTTTAGGTATATCGCTCGTGTAGAGCGTGAAGAGCAAAGGTGAGAGGCAGGCCTTGTGGTACGCCGGCCGTGAGGCGGCGACTTGTGGAGAGGGTGCCTTCAACTCGATATCGAAAAGAGCGGTTTGACAGGAAGGCCCGGATGGTGTGTACGAGCCTATCTGGCACTTTGAGTGTGTACAGCTTGTAAAGCAAGCCGTTGTGCCAAACCTTGTCGAATGCTTTTGCGACATCGAAGAAAAGAGCCCCTGTACTAATATGTTTAGGGTGATTTAGGCCTTTTAGGATATGTTCCATTAGGCGGAATAGTTGATCGGGACAGGAATGTCTAGCTCGAAAGCCGAATTGTTCCGCCGGCAGAAGGCCGTTGGTTAACACGTGTTCATTGAGCCTGTTTAATAAAAGCCGCTCGTAGAGCTTCCCCAGGCAACTGAGGAGGCTGATGGGACGATAGCTAGAGGGCTGGTTGGCTGGTTTATTCGGCTTGCGAATGCCGATAACCGTGGCTTCTTTCCAGTAGTCGGGAAAGGAGCAACTGGAGAGTAAAGTGTTGTAAATGGTCGCCAGTAAACAGATAAGCGGCCCAGGGAGAGCTTTAAGAATTTTGTTACTGATATTATCTGGGCCCGGGGCGGATTTCGGTTTTAGATTTTTAATAATATCTTGGACCTCTTCGGGGGTCACTGAATTTAAAATGGTTCGCCTTCCGGTGGAAGCGCAGCCCTAGTCTCGATTACGCGGTCCACCTCCGTTACGTGGAATGTATCGGTGTGTTCGCGCGATGGCGTACATTGCTGCTCTAGGTTGTCCGCAAGGCATTCGGCTTTTTCGGAGTCATCTAGGGCTGCTGAAGCGCTATTAGGTCTAACTAACGGCGGTAGAGATTCGCGGGGGTCTGCTTTCAGACTGCGGGCCAACCGCCAGTAGGCGGTGTGCGATGGCTCGATGTCCTCTAAGAGATTGTCCCACGTTGTATGTCGGTGTTCCGATACACGATCTTTGACTTCTAGCTGAAGGCGTCGAAGTAGGGTTCGGTTCGATTCCGATCGGTATCGGTCGAAGGCGCGTTTGGCTGCATTTTTCTGTCTAATTAGCAGTCGTAGGTCGGGCGGAAAGTTAAACCGTCGGTCGCCCGGCAGTTTCACCGTCCGTTCCGAGTCTGAGACTGCGGAAGTAATAGTTTCGCGGAGACTCGCTATCGCTCGATTTGCGTCATCGAACGTAACTATCGTCTCGGGTAAGTCTACTAAGTCCTGGGGGTCCAAGGCCTTGAGTTTGACCTCAAGACGATGCCAGTCCACTACGGATTTGGTCGGAGGGACCGCGCCGGCGTTCTGGCCCAGTTTACACAGGACGGGCCTGTGGTCTGAGTCTAGTTTATGGATTGTCTCTATCGACTCGATGTCGAGCGAGACCTCCCTGAATAACATTATGTCTAGGACACTCGGTGACGCGTGCTGGTAGTTGTCCACCGTAGGATACCTAGTGGGAGTCGCGGGAGCGACTATACTGAAATTTAGGTTATCGGATAAGCTAAAGAGATGCTTTCCGTTGTTGTTTGGGATGCTGTTGATGTCCCATGAGCCGTGTTTGCAGTTTAGATCTCCTGCAATTATCACGGAAGGGCCTAAGTTAAGAAGCGTATCTAGGTCGCTTTGAAGGAGGGTTCTATTCCCCGAGAGGTAGGCTGAGACTAGTACAAGCGGCCTGTGGCCGGTGAGCGCTAACCTACACGCGGATGCCTCTATTTGACTTAGCTCTGGAATGTCGAGCGGGCAACAGTGCAAGGACCGTTTATAATAAATTAGTGTGCCTCCCAGACGGTTTGCTAACCGGTCGTGGCGGACAATATTGTAATTTGCGATTCTGGGATCGCGTACACTAGGTTTCAAGAATGTCTCTTGCACTAGGAAAATATCTACGTTATAATCGCGAAGGAATTCCGCGATTTCATCCCTTTGACCCTTTATGCCGTTTGCGTTGAAATACGAAACAACCAGAGCCCGAGGTTTCGTTCTACCTGCGGTTGTACTTCCCATTAAGGTGTTTTTATGGGTCTAATTAACGACGCGGCGGAGCGCGGTTTTATTGCGCGGACTATTGTTTTTTTTTACGGTTGGCTCGTAAAAGCCCAAAGGGCTTCCACAAGCGTTTTGTGTTGGCTAATTGCCCTAAGACGCTCGTGGCCAGATGTGGCGGCCGCTATTTTAGCGCACAATACGGCGAGTTCCTGCCTATTGATTCTATTAAGTAAGCTGCAAATATTAGCGATTTGCGCGAATGGGTCGTCCTTGTTTTCCGCGAAAACTGACGGAGTTGGCTGCACCTGCGGCCGCGGCGCCGTTTGAGGGGCGGGCAGCTGTTGTGCGATCGGTCGTGAGGCGACCGGCACGGTTACCTGCGCGGCCACCTGGGGTTTCGCCCAGGCGTTTGTGACGGGTACGGGCGCGGGAATGTATTTAATGGGCGCGGGTTTGGGCAACGTAGACTTCGCGGGAGATTTTCTCGCGGGAGTTTTCGGGGCCTTAGCGCAGCCTCTATAACTAGCCGGATGGCCGGTAGTGTGACAGTTTACGCAGTCCGGTGGATCTGCGCAATCTTGCGGCCTCGTGCACTCGGTTGTGCCGTGGTCACCGGTGCATTTGACGCACCTTGGGTGAGCGAAGCAGTTATTGGCCGTGTGGCCAAAATGTTGACAGTTGTGGCACTGTGCCACAACACTTGATTTACGTGGGGGCTCGATGACTAAGTCACTGAGCCCACAGACCCTCTTAAGGTTGAAAATGGCCTTACCTTCCGGGGTAGGGTTAAGTTCCACCATGACCATGTCCATAGGGACACGGGTGCGAGGGTGCCTGAGACGACGCACGGCGTGATCAGGGTATCCCTGAGTGCGGATGTCGACCTTAGCCATATCGACATCCGACTCTTTTGGGACGCCCTTAATTACGACCCGAAGTTTACGCTCTTCGGGTAGTGAGTAGGTGTGGAAACCTACCTTAGCTTCGCGCAAGTATTTCGTTACGCGGCGGAAATCGTCCGAAGAATCGAGGTATACGCGGATACCCATATGCGTATTCTTGGACCGGGGGTCTCGTATGTTATGGCGTTCGAACCATAAACATATCTGATGCCACTTTGCCTTTTCTTGGATTATAATTGGCGGCGATGGCTTGATTTTTCGCTCGGAGGCGAATATCGGTTCCGACTGGGCAGTCGCGGCTGCCTTTTTGGCGGGCGTCGCGGTGGGACGGTTTGACGGGGTGGCCTCGCTTTCGTGGTCGCTGTCCGTAGCGGGGCGTTTCTTGCCCTTTTTGCGCGATTTGACGACGGTGAAGCCGTCGGCGTTCGCGTTGTTAGCGGAGGTCGTTTCGACCTCCATGTCTGAGCCGCCGTCCGATTGTGAGTCGGGAACGACAGCGCGGAAGGGGGCCGAAATTGGTTGCGCGGAAGGCGCGTTAGGATCGATCGCGGCGGCGGAGGTCGACGCGACGGGCGTTTCGATAGTCGCAGAGGGCGACACAATAGCTGGCGCAGAGGGCACCGGAGATGGCGGCGAGGCGGCAGCCGGTGAAGCCGGACTGTCGCTAGAGAATTCGACGACGATGCGTCGTTCCCTCGCGAAATTCAAATATTTTACCCATAATTCGGGGCATTCTTGACGCAGGAATTCCTCTATGAGGGACCCATGTCAACGCTTGAGCCTTTGGGGCTTGCGCCCCGCCGGCGTGTGGTTTACTAAATAGGCCTCCCCACCTTGCGGCACGGAGGTGTGTGCCTAAAATTAACCTTTAATCGCCTGCGCTTTAGGTGCGCTAGGGTGAGTACCTAGCTGTCGCCTAATGCAACAACCACACAGGTAAAAATTACAATGCCGCCTCTGAGACGAGAAATGTGTGTAGAATTCTACTTACGGACAGGAACCTGCCTACGAGCACAACACTACACTAACACTATCCGCTCGGAAGTCGGGCAAAGTTTCTTCGTTCTTCTATAATGTTTCTTCTTTCTTCTATAACTTTTCTTCACTCTTCTTGCTTGAGACTTCCCTAACCGTAGACCGCGAAACACGACAAAGATGAGGCAAGCAGTGCACACCAAGAGATAAAAGAAATAATGTAAGTAGCAACAACGGTTGCAAAATGGCTTCCGGGTCGGTTGGCATGGGCCCTCCGGCTCAGAGTATCGTCCGTTCCGTGTGGAAGCACGAAGCGGAATGAGTTTTAACGTATTGCTTTAATAAAAGGTTTATCTACTTACTACAGGTCCTTCTCCCGCTGGATTCTTGTGATGTATAAGGCTAGATGTTTCTAGGACATTTTGAAGAGGTGTTCTAGTTGGACCATCATTTGGGATCGATTGTATAGCCAAAAGGGACCCCATCTACAAAATATATTTTTTATTGAAATGTAGGTTTATGCACTTCTTATTTACCCGTGCTACATTGAAGCATGCATAAAAATATTTCCCATATTTATGTATTGCCCATTGCTTACCGCGACATACTGCCAGCCGTTGTTGACACGGACAAGTAACGCTTGCTCTCGTATGATATACGCTAAAGTACCTCGAGGACAGGCAACTCCAAGCTATAAATACAATATTAGCAATTAACTAATGGTCTAAAATGAAGAACTATTTTTCGGGTTAAATAATTGGAAAAATTGTATATTTTTACCATAAAAATACTTTATCACTTGCATGTACTGAACATAGTTTTTCATAGATTATCATAAAAACTAACCATAATTGTAGTAGTTACAATTTTGTCAAGTTTATTTTACCTAATATATTTTTTTTTCCTTCCTAGCATTTATCGTCTAAATCTCAGATAATGATAATGTACACATTATCTTCTACAGAAGATTTTCATTCAAGTGATATTAAAACGATAATGTAATACTTCCAAATGCTTACTTTAAGTAAAGATTCCGTTGTCTTGAACAAAATAGTTCCAACTATAGCTTTTCCTTCTTCATCGTCGTCGAAATCCATATCTTCTTCATTCTCTAATGTATCTCGATAGCCTAGTGGTTTATAATATAAATTAATAACATTCTGGCAATTCCATAAATAACTACAAACAATCTATTCCCAAGCTAAGCAAAGCCTGTTCAATGGCTTTCTTCTTCAAATAAATACATATTATAGATATATTCAGAAACTAGAAAAATGTTATGTTTATTCAACATACAATATTTTTCCGATAGTTGCAATCGAACCTCTGTCGCAAGAGAAGATTCGCCAGCTGAACATTTATAATGCTTTAATAAGAATTATAAATATTCATCTGGCGAATTGAACCATAATATATAATTATAATTTATACTTCTATATTTATATGTTTAATTAATAATATACAAGCACTTAAAATTTTTTCATTTTTTTTTTATTTTCATTGCTAAAATGTTTTTTTTATTCAAATATGTAATCGTTTTTAATTTCTTCATCAGACTTGATCCAAAAAGTATTAAATCAATAATAATAATTTCACTACTCTTCCGTTATCAGTTGTGCAAAAATCTGTATGTTTTATTTAATATTTATGCTGACTAATAAACAAATATTTATGATTAGAAGATAGTACACACATGAGTTACAATTACACACAAAAAAATCTAGAATTTTCTTACCATAAAGCTCCTGGCGACTTTGTACTAGATGATTTAAGCTTCTAAGAATTTGTAGAGCGTCGCGTTGCTTGCCTGATTTATATATAATATTACTATTGTATCTTATTTTATTACTTATTATATTAATATAATCATCTTTTTTTCCTTAATTTATGAATATCATTTCGTTTTTGGAATGATTCTTTAGTTTCGAGTATCGTGTCAATTGCCAATAAACAGTTCTATGAGTGAGTTTTGCTCCAAATAAAGAGAGACATTATTGAGGTATAAATTAAAAACGATTAGTATATTATTGATTAAATAGAAAAATATAACATACCATTATTAGATCCACGGCGATCGGAACCCATATTTTCAGGTATGTTATCTGTTGGTATTTCACTAGCGTACGATGGTCCAGGGGGTCCAGGAGGACCTGGTGGGCCTGGGGGTCCAGGCGCTGAGATGTATTGAATATTAGTTGCCGGCGCGCCTGGTGGTCCTGGCGGACCCCTTGGCCCATCCCTTCCAGGCAATCCTGGTGTCCCATCATCTCCTCTATCGCCCCTTATCACCTTTGACCTAAAACAAAAGATATGTCAGTTCTTGTAAATTGGAAATAATCATTCAAATATTTATTTTGGGTATATTTATTACCTTTTCAATGTCAGATGGAGATATACTAGAATCACCTTTATCACCTTTAGGGCCTTGGGGACCTGGCTGTCCCGTGGCTCCGGGTGGACCCTACGGTAACAAGATAAACAATAAACAATCCAAACTATATTAGTCATTGTTAAATAAAAATAATTTGCTGATCGTTAAATACATGTTTAATTATTGCTTAAGTTACTGTCTTCGTCTTTTCCGTGACTATAGACTCTGTAAAGTATTTGTAACGTTAGAATGAAATTCTAGTAAATTAGTTTTATTTAAATATGAGCACGCTTAGGTACGTAAAATAATTAGATAAATGAATTAATAACTTTCAATACTCACTGTCCATCCTGGTAATCCAATATCTCCAGAAATTCCATTATTACCTGGTATTCCTGGAGGACCAGGAAGGCCGGGTGGGCCTCTTAAACCAGGTGGCCCTGGATGTCCTCGCTTGCCTCTAGCGCCAGGTTCGCCTTTGTCACCCTAGTACCCAACAAACAAACAACTTTTAAATCTGATACATTTTATAATTAAAATACAAAATACTTATGTAAAACTACTTGTATACCTTGGTCAGTAGAATTGCTTCGTCCCTTGATAGGGCTACCGGTCCAGGTGCACCAGTTTCACCTTTGTCTCCTTTGGGCCCACTAGGTCCAGTGGTACCTTGTGCCCCGGGAAGGCCTGACGGCCCAATGTCTCCGCGTTCCCCGGGCTTGCCGTCGTTGCCCGGAAATCCTTGTGGTCCCTCTATACCCCTAACACCTTTTTCACCCTGTGACGATAAACTTGTCTACGTTACGAAAATCATAAACGGACTAAAAACGGACGTTTGAAAATGTATAATTATCAAAGAGGTTTTTAATTTTACTCCAAGATCCAAGTTTATTTAGGTTGTTCATTACCACCGAAAGAAAACGTATAACATCATAAATTCAAATGCAGCGCTTACAACTAAGGTTGCAGAGTACGATGAGTTTTAGCATATGGACTTTGAGCTGTCGTGTAAAAAATTAACTTAGCTAAATTAAAGATTATGAAAAAAATGCAGTAAATGTCATTGACTACCTTGTCACCTCGTTCTCCTTTGTCACCCTTTACATATACACCCTTTGAAAGGGAGGAAGCATCTCGCAATCCTGAAAAATAATTAAAAAGTACATTATTTAGACAACATTGTTGTTCATTTCAAAACAGATTTTAAAGTCTCAGCTTAAACAACATATGATTGTACTGCTAGAAGTAGCGCACTTTAGTCATTTATATTCGTTTAACGTAGAAGGAAACATATGAAATACAAGTCAAGTTATTAGTCAAGGTTTTAGGGAAAGTGAATATGTTATTAAGCGTGTCATTATTCAGACGCCACTGTAATTAGTGTAGACCAAAAGAGAAACTTTGTTTTGGAAGTATTGAATAATTTGAAACAATATGTTCTCAGCCCATGAAAAGTTCTTCAAGTCATGAAAATGTAAACTATTGATTAATTAATGTTTAACGTAAGCACTGTCGTATTTTATGACATAATATTAGAATGTAAATACTTACCCGACCGCAAAATACCCATTTCAACTGAATTTTCTGACAATACTGGATTGAAAGTGCCGGGCGGTCCAGGTAGACCACGAGCGCCTTAATATTATATATTGACATTAATACAAATAGTTATAATTATGTACAGTAAAAATTTATATTAGTAAATCAGACCATAAATGCGCTGTGAGTTTATTTTCTATACATCCAATTCACGGATTGGAAACAATAACATTTGTGCAACTAGCTTATAAAATCAAGAATGTTATAAAAAAATATAAAATTGTATTTGGAGAGAACATAACTTATTATCTTATTTTTTCGATAATAACCTCTCTGCCCAATCCTGGAAAAACGTTAGTTATTTAATAAAATTAGTGACTATGAAAAATATTTAATATTTTTTTTATAGTTAACCCAATTGGGTTATTGAAAAAATAAAATCATTAAAGTTTTCCAAAAATTTTACAACTTAAATATATACACATTTTTTATAGACGATGATAAAAGTGTTTTTTTTTTTTTAATTTGAAACAATCAATGTAAAAGTAATAAATTTTATATTTAACGCGTGCATCCAACACGGTTGTTGGCTGCCTTTTTATTAGCACATTTGGTTAAAATAATTCCACAATGAAATAAGATATGTTCTACGATTTTTACTTACACCATATGAAAAAAAAAAACAGAATTTTAGTGGCTAAAAAATTTATGTAAATATCGTGTAAAAAAATATTTATGAGGGTGAACTCCGATAGTATAATATTTAAGGTGGATAAATTTAAGATATCAAGTTTCCCAAAGTATAATATTCGGTTTAATTCAGCCGAAGTACGATATGCCAAAGCATCAACGTAATTTTGTTAGAAGATCGTATTGCAAATATGAGTAACAAAACTAAACATTTTCATAATACAAATTTATAACTCGTAGGGCTTGACGTAAAATTACGGTGACTATAGTGCAAATTACGTTCAACTTCAGAATTTGCATAAAGGGAGTGTATCTAACTTGATGAAATATTATAATATAATATATTCATCTATTACTGAATAGAACAAAGATCATTTGATAACTGAACGAAAATCTATTAGGTATACAATCGTTTTAAAATATTACGGTATTTTTTATATATTGGAATTTTTGTTTATTATTTGGAGTAAGTCTCCTTAGGAAAATTTTACTGTTAGTGTTGATTATATACGTTCACATTAATGTCTGTTAATAACTATTATGAATTACTTTAAAGAACTAACATCAAAATGATCCTCCAAGCAAAACAGTCATTTTTGTAGTATCTTTTAAGACTTGTTAATTAAGATTATAAGGATTTATAAACTTATTAATATTTTATAAAAAGTTTTAATTGATGACAACAGTTAAAACACTGTATACAAAAAACAATGAGTAGAAATTACCACTGTGACGTCACATGTGCCCGGTTCGGGAACTGTTAGCAGGCACTGAGTTCAAACATTTATTATTCATTTATATGTATCTATTAATTCAATGAAAAAAAAAAACGCACAAGTGCGAGTCGGACTCGCGCTCCAGGGGTTCCGTACTATTCTCTATAAAAACTTTAAAAAAATCACGTATGGGAGTCCCACTTAAATAGTTTTTTATTCCGTTTTAGTATTTTTGTTGTAGCGGCAACAGAGATACAAAATCATCTGTGAAAATTTCAACTGTCTAGCTTTACGGTTCATGAGATACAGCCTGGTGACAGACGGACAGACATCGGGGTCTTAGTAATAGGGTCCCGTTTTACCCTTTGGATACGCAGCCCTAAAAAGAACCAAAAATTAGTTAAAGCAATGAACAGATTTTTTTCGTCATTCCTAATTCAATTTCAAAAACCTAATTCCAGCACGTGACGTAATAAAAAAAAGTCATTCTAAGTGCGGCGCGCTTTATCCCGCTTAATCCTGTGCGAGCATAAATTTGGTCGGCGCTGAGCTATAAAATTTGATGGTCGAGTTAGTTTCTCACCTTTCTCACCCTTTTCCGCTGGTCGCCCGTGAGCGCCGGGGAGGCCCGGTGTCCCATCGCGACCCGGCGGGCCCCGTTCGCCCTTCGCACCGTGTTGCCCCCTGTTCCCCACGTATCCCTGTAATTTTATACTAGCGAGAAAGAAATAATGACTCAGTGGTAGTAGCCAAAGTATTGGCTTTAGGTCCGTTGGTCGGTTATACTAGCGAGAAGGAAATAATGACTCAGTGGTAGCATTGGCTTTAGCGCCGAGGATTGGGGTCCCACAAGGAACTTTTTTTGTGATCCGAAGCAATTATTTGTTATAATTACTTTTTGTAAAACAGTAAACTTATACTTGTTTATAATGAAATTGGCATTTGGTTATTAACTCTTCTAATCGTAATATATGCTTAACAAATACTTAAACATCAAAACGATGATATTACTACCGTATGGATGGAAAATCGAACAATAATAAAATCATAGAATATAGATAGTTGGATAAGATTTATAATTGGGTTTAATTTATGTTTTATTAATAACAAAAATGTTTGTAAACAATTTAGCTCTAAGACCACGTCTATTTTGTGATATAAATAAGTAATATAAAATGAATATAATCATATTATACGTACTATTTAACGTCCCCTTAAACGGGGTAGAAAGAAGCACTCATTTCTTACATCTAATAAACCTTTTCCAAAACATGTAAATAAGAATTTATTCCTACTTACTTTCTTACTATACGTATTTATTTTATTGAAGCGAGAAAAAAAATTGAATTTCAATTTATCTCACTCACCCTATCACCTTTGTCTCCTTTAGATCCATGTAATCCTTTCTCGCCCTTATTTCCTGGATAGCCTCTTTCACCTTGAGGGCCAGGCATACCTATTGGCCCCCTTTCACCCGGAGAAGCGGTGAGACCGCGGCTACTAGACCCATATAATCCTGCTGATTCCTGTTCAAGTAGAGAAAGGTTTGTGAACGCCAATGAAATTGAAAAATTTTCTTCTAATTAATTCACTGATAAGTAATAACATGAGTTTGATACTATTTGTATGAATCTAGTTCCTATATTTTAATAACCAGGAAAATATGCTACAACACAAAAGACATTAAATAATTTTTAACGTTTGCTTATTGTTTTATTTTCATCCTGCTTCATTGATTGATAAATCCTATAATATATGAATAAGTAAGTAATCGCAATAACAGGTAAAGTTTATCTTAACACTGTTATAGTGTTAATAAAAATTTTACCTTTTATTTCTTACCCTATTTCTGAACGGAATACTGAAAAAGGATTGTCCATTTTGCCCCAAATTGGACAGCACTCTCATTTTAAAGAATGATGTTTTAATATAGATTACGCATGACCTGCGCGGCGTTTAAAAATTTTTCAGCTATAAATTATATGACATATATATTAAATATGACAGATGACATAAAAGGATGATACGGAAAGATATGGATACAATCTCTATAGAATTGTAATCTTATTACACCAATTATCGTAATTTGAGTGCCTTAGTTTCGGTGCAAGCCATAATGCCATAAGTAATTTAAGTGATGAATTAAAACACTTTTTAGGGTTGTACGAATTAAACTAATAAATCATTTTATTATTAAGTAATTTAACCCATAACCTGTTGTAATTTTACAAACATGACAACGTCAAGATGTATACTAATACTAACAAAAATCAATTAGTTAAACATTTTTAAGCAGCGTATGTATAAGAACAAAATAGTTCGCAATTGTTAGAAATTATAAATTAAAATAAAAGTAAGAAATTATGTTAATACTGTACTTATGCTGCAAGACCGTGCTTTTAACCAAAATTGACAATTCTCGGTCAATCTGAAGTGCCTATATGGTAGTTCCCATTAATCTATTTGGTAAAAATTTATATATTAATAAATTTGGCAAATAGCAAGGTCTTTACAGTTCAGATAAAGAAAAATTTCCGAAAAATAAAATAGTTGCTAGGTCCACCCGATCCTGATAAAATCGTTGGTAATTATTTATCAATTTTATTTTGGCGGTACAATGGGTAGATACGTAACCCTCCGCGTACCAGTTCAACTCGCACTTAACCAATTTTTTTTATAAAAAATATTGAGGTAATAAAAACAATCTTACCTTAACTTCTCTTTTACAAAAAACACGGAAAATATAGAACAAGTTTTAATTGACGATTATAAGAAATGCGTATTTTGCATTTCTTCAATCTAAACTTCGATGAAAGGGACTAAATATTTCTCAGTAATTGAGAAACATGATATCAAGCTTACTTTAATTTACTTCGGTACAATATTTAGAGAAGCAATAAAGGCGAAAAAAAGTAGATGAAGAATAAATACTACTTGCAAAACTCCTTGTATTTCTAACCTTATAACAAACTCGTATTGAAATTGTTTTGCTAATAAACCACCACGTAATATGATATATTATTTTCTTCTCATTCTCCTTATTTTAAGACTTCATGTTTCATTTTCAAATATTTGCACTTTGTGTCGCTTCAAAGTATAGTATAGGAGCGTCCCGAAAATTCCTAATAAAGCCCTTCGAGTTGGTAATTGTTCAGCAGATATTCATTTTATTATAATTTACACAAATGTTCTTACTATTAACGAAGAAGATACTGGACCCGGTGGTCCTGGTGGCCCCGGCGGCCCTTGCAATCCCGGAGTGCCATCCACCCCTGGATCTCCTTTGGGACCTGGCTGACCTTCTATGCCTGGTGGCCCTGTCTCACCCCGTTCACCTTGATTGCCCTTTACACCAGGAAGTCCAGGTGGTCCCGGGTCACCTATCTGGCCCTGAAAGCGAACCAAATGTTCAAAATTTTCAAAATCCCTGCATAAAAAATTAGTCAAATATTTCCTCTATAAACATAAAGAATTTCTCAGACATTATTATCAGTTTAGATTTATTTATATGTGTTGCGTAAATGTAACAATTAAATATTGTCTAATGGCATATAAATGAATTCACACCGTCTTTCCTGGAGCACCTGTGGTCCCATCTGATCCAGTATTTCCTGGAGGACCTGGAGGGCCCTTTAACCCTGGCAAGGTCTCCAATATTCGTGAAATGTCGTTCTTGCTGCATTGACAATACTCAGACTGTGGTACCTATTGAATGAAATTGAGAAGTTATAAACTTTATTTAAAAAGTTTCACAAGCTTAAACCATTTTTATGTTGTAACTAACATTAATAGCTTCTGTAGATCTACCGAGTTTACCCAGCGTTCCGGACATTCCAAGTTCCGCATTCATTGTGTCATCAGTCGACCCCTGTTTAGATAATTCAGCCATTAGAAAGGCAAACCTTATAGAAGATGTATTCTGTACTCCATGCGTAAATAATTTTAAATATGTATTGTATTTACTTGCAACAGTTTTGAAACGAATAAAGTTATATATTAAATTTGAAATTCATTTCCCTACTTTGAAACTTCATAATAATACGATACATACATTTTCATCCATTCCGCCTTTCTGGCCAGCGACATCTGCAACACGTACATTTTACGTCTTATCATTCGTATCTTAAAATTTTACTAACAATACATCGTAACATTTAGTATAAACTGAAATAAACACCTGTTTTATTTACGGTACATTCAAAATTGAGCCGCGATACTACAGTAAATTTTTTTAGTTGGTCCCTTAAAGTTAGGTATCGATGGTGAATAAGTCGTATAAGACTCGGGCAATATTAACTTTTTGATATTAATTATAACTTTCAAAAAATATTGACGGTGTTGGTTCTAATTGGATCACTTCGAAGATTCTATAATACGAAGATGCAATCGTTACATTAGATTTTTTATCCGTGACAACTAATAATTAAAAAATAAAATATAGAAAATACTTAATACATGGAATATCGAGAAACAAAAGTGATTTTTAACTATTTAAGAATTACAAATGTATTTTCCTTAATGAAATACTTGAGATATAGAAAAAGAGTAAACCAGTTAAGTATGATACATAAAAAAAAACTTACAAGATATCACTGCAAGTCTATTTTCTTCCAGATTTACCTATAAAAATAACATATAAAATTAGTAACTTTTATGCAGTTGAAAAATTATTCAAGTGGATGCGGCTGTAAAAGAGTACCTAATCCTCTTTTATTACAGAAATAATCACACAAAACTGCTTATTTTTCGCCTACTTGAGAGCCGGTGATTTCCTCATAACCATTAAGTAATGAAATTCTGTATTATAGTGTTCTTGGCAACATTCTACTGATTGCTATGATTTATGCCAATGATTATACTTTTGCTTGATAATTTCTTGACATATTAAAATTGGTCTAAGATCCGAATCTAAATCGACCTTCACCGAGCTGATAATAGAATAAATTTTATTTTATAATAAATTTAGTACATTAGAAAATATATTAAAACTGGGTTGCCTAAAAAACTCCTGGACAGAATATTTTTAATATTTAAAAAAAAAATATTTTTCATGAAATGTTGCAACATCAAGATATTAATAAGAAAATATTATCCTGGATTGCAATATAAAACATAGAATGTGCAGCCGTTGGGTTGTCTATTATTTACCTGGACGAACTACTGGGTTGTTAGGTGTAAACAGGTATGGCGGTATCAGTTACTGTCACTGATTGGATAATAGAAAAAAAATTATATTTTTGTTTTATATTGCAATTCAGGATAATATTTGTTGCAACATTTCATGTAAAATCATTTTTTAAAAAATAAAAAAAATATTCTGTCCAGGATTTTTAGGCAATCCAGTTTTAATACATTTTCTAATATACGATATTTATTATAAAATAAATTTTATTCTATTATCAGCTCGGTGAAGGTGGATTTAGATTCGAATCTTCTACTAATTGTTCCATGCAGACAAATTAGTTTATAAAACAATATATATTAATGTTTAAAATTAAATGAGGTTGCGCTACCGTATAAAATAATAGTCAAGCGAAACCAACGAAACGGATGTGAACGGCCATCTTTATCTATGTGTGTTGAAGTCTTATTATTATATAAGTTATTCTTCTTTCACCGGTTCTTCTATTACTAATATTATCTAGTACTAATATTATGACAATCAATAAAGAAATGTAATGCCTCTATATTGAATATAGATATTAGAATTTGAGTGTTGTGGTAAACTAGAAACCTGAACATGGCAAGAAATAAGCGCCATCCATGGATATCTACAATATATTCCGGACTAGCGATCCGCCCCAGCTTCCCAAGGGTTTAAGGTCTTATACATATAAATCTTCCTATTGAATCACTCTATCTAGTAAAAAAACCGCATCAAGATCCGTTGCGTAGTTTTAATGATCTAAGCATACGTACAGACAGACAGAGAGCGGGACGAATTTGTTTTATACTATGTAGCGATACGTTGCGAATCTTATAAAAAATGCTGGCCCCGTTCACTTCACTCATCAGTGAAAGCGCAAAAGGATAAAATACTTCACGCCAGCCTTTTTGAATTCGTAGTGCCTCACCTGACATATCGGCCATTCATGCAACAGCAATTGCTGCTAGCTGTCCCTACCACAGTATATAGCTAGAGAATAGAATTATTTCCATTTCTATTAATAGAGAGCTTTAGAGAATTAATTTACATTTTTCTACATATTTTAAGAATTAATTACTTCCAGTCGTTCATGTTCACTATAATCTATGGATCTATTATATCTTTGATCTCATATTTAATTATTTTTAAATAATTAACGATGGCTTGCGTATGATAGATTTCAATTTTCCAAAACTAATTAAATTTAATTTTATTGCATTGACTGCTTAAAAGGCAAAAAGCTGTTTAATATGCTGTATCTCTCATAATTGATTTTTCTTTCAAAGGAATTATTAGCATGTACATTATTCTTTTTGTCCCGACCCAAACACAGGGATCTGCTAGTCTCTCCAGTTTGTAGTCACACAAAATGTTTTATATACAAGAGTACAAAAAACAGATCTCATTTTATTGCATTCAAGTCACGCCCCGTAGTCCCGGTAGAAGGTAGAAAGGACTGTAAGCAATAGAAATAAATAATTCATACAATCGGGCAGATACAGTAGACTCAATATTGGAATAATCCGCATTCAAAAACCGTGGCCGACTTAATAAAGGAATGGGATCTTAGAAGAATTAGTAGTTGGGGCTAAATGAGTCATTTTTTGTTAACATAATATTATCGTATTAAAGTTATAGATGCGTTACATTTGAAAGACATTAAAAATTTTCGTTAGATGTCAACAAATGTTCATAATTATGTTTAAAAAAGCAGAAAATTTCAATAGTGCTTTTATCATTTCCCAACCAAAATAGAAAAATATTACCTACCAATTAGAAAAAATACAATTAAGCATTTTTTTAACTTTCACCGTGAAACGGGAAAGTCATCAACATTCGCACAATGTACAATAAAAAAAAATTCTACGAAAAATATGTCCAAGTTGGTCCGGTGGTTCCCATAAATTTAATGAAGGACATGATGATATAAGATGTTTTCGAAAAAGCACAGTGACAGCTGTATACACGTCACACATGATATTTTGGCTGAACACATTGCAGTCCTTTTGATTGTATAGGTATTCCATACTGTTATCTAAGATGTCCAACTATGGCTTTAATCACGATTTAGCAAAATGTTCTGGAAGCTATCTCACTGGCCGTAGTTAATTTGTGGACAACTTGTTACGTTTTCTGTACCAAAACACAACTTTCTAACTTCGCTCCGCTCAGCGTTGCCTTAAGAAAGGAACCCCAAAGGAAAACACTATTTACAATTTACACTACCAACATTGAAAACATCACATATACGCAGAACAACTATATACATGTTTATTTCATTTATTTCACTCGGTGAATTTAAGTGAGGTAATCAGGATGTGTTACGAATCATTGAACAACTATCTTGTCTTCAGTCCAAATAAATATAAATATACAGTTTTTGGATGAAAATGACTTAAGCAAGCTTCTATGAATGTGCCGTTAGACTAGAGTTAAAAGCAGGGGAATGTGTTTTTGTAGACCATAATTTAGGTTCAGAGTTAGAGTTACATTCTGAAAACTATGTTTCAAATATAGTGTGAGAATGTTTCATTGCGTTTAGCGTGTCTTAAAATATAATTCAAAAGAACTTTTACAAAAATACAGTTTATAGATTAAGTCAATAAAGACCAAATCGACGTATTCGATAGTCTAAATATCGACGATATATATCGATAACTGTATAGGAAAATATCGATATTTTTTGCTGTTTCCTAGCTAAACAGCTGAATAAGTATAGGCTTGTTCAGCTGTAAAAATTAAGTCATAGATACTATATATTATGTATAGCTAAGCACCACATGTTGGCTTTAGTCGCTTGGTTGTGAAACTGAACCCCAGAATAAATCATATAACATCATTACGTGACCAAGATAATTATTGATCTTTCTTTAGGATCTTTCTAAAGGTTATAAATAGCCGTATGGAATATTATTGTGATCGTCATGTCTGGTAGGACCTTATTTACGTTGTGTTTATTTAGTAACTTGATTATTTTAGGTGTATCTTGGATAGATAAATATTCACTAGTCGTGGTATAAGCCAGAGATAATGTCAGATTGCTTTCTTAACAACTAATCCCGACTCGCTTGAGACGGGCTCAGAGTATATAGTATACTCCCTCTCACGCTTGTAAAGGGCTCACAATTTAATTTTAAACTAATATCCCTTCTCTCTTGAAAAGGGCTCACATCAATTTTACATACCCGATACAAGTCAACAGCTCCCCCACATTTTTAAAAAAATGTAGGGAAGGCACACGGCTCCATGAAAACACTCACCAACGCCGTGTGCGGTGAGCGCCAACCAACATATTGCCCCCCCCCCCCCCCCCTCAGAAGAGGGACAAAAAGTTGGGGAAAGGACCGAAGTCCATTGCAAAGCTGTTTCACCGGCATAAAGAGGGTTTGGCCCCTTGGCAGTGCGTAAGCACAAACTTTGACCGAAGTTGCGCATGTCAATGCGTGTAAACGTCATACAAGCCGACGACAAATCCAGTCTTCGTGAATGTACGTCAATACGGTTTGGGGCATGTGTTAAAGCTCAGGCACTCTGACCTTATGATATAATTAGCCCTCCGTAAGCGCCACCACTTTTTCCAGACCGCCGCGACTGCAGACGTGATTGTTAGTGTTTTGGCATCACCACCAATTACAAGATTAGCACGACATTTCGTCGCAGAGCGCGTTATGAGTCACTGCTCACCCCAAGGGTATGGTTATAACGTTGCACGGCATCGCCGCAGCCTTGAGAGGTTTTCTCCCGCCAGCTACCATCCACATGAGGTAAACGCATATATGCTCCACCAACCATTGCAATAGTCAGATATAGCCATAGTTGTGATTTTTATGTTTAGCCATCAGAAGGGCAACATATATTTATTTGTCAGTGTCTCTGGCGTTGAGTATAATATATTTTCAATCAAATAAATGAAACTAATTTTACGGATTTATCGCGTTTATTTTAAATTTTAATTCCCGACGTTTCGAACCCTTTACAGCGTTCATGGTCACGGGACAGACTGAGGTGTTAGACGTCTGACTGTCATAGTTAACCCGGGCTACCGTCAGTTTTTGAATTATTAATTTTGTGTCCGATCTATGCAGAGGGAGCTAATTGTATCTTGTCTTGCAGTAGTGGTTCGTTTGGGCCTAGATTTAATTTTATTGATGACAGGATCCCAAGCTGATGGTAGTACCCAACCTTCTTCTCTATTGAAATTAGGGTGTTTTTTAATTTCAATAGCCTCGCGAATCATCCTTGGGAGGAATCGGTGTTCTTTTGCAAGGATCTGTGGTTTGTCAAACCTGATGTAGTGGTTGGGCCTATTGAAAAACTCACAAACTGCAGACTTGTTCAATCTATTGTGTTTTATGTCAGCTATATGTTCTTTCACGCGGGTTTTTATTGCTCTTTTCGTTTGACTTATGTAAGAGAGCCCACATTCACAGTCAAGTTTGTACACTCCTGGATCTTGCAGAGGGATATTACACTT